AATTATAAATCGATGGTTAGGAACAGAAGATGTCAACAAAATTCAATGCATACGGTGCAGTTTTATAAGTTAAAAGTAAAATTGATGGAAACTTCAAAATTGAATTAATAGCATCAAAATCAAGAATAGCACCATTAAAAATAAAAACAATCCCAGGATTGGAATTATGTGCAGCAAGTCTATTAGTAGATAGAATAATAGAAGTAAAAAAACCAATAATAAATTGGCATGATTATCCTATTTATTGTTGGACTGATTCACAAATTGTAATGCATTGGATAAATAAGGAACCATCTAGCTTAAAAGTATATGTTTGCAAATAGAGTAGCAAACATCCAAAATAAAAATAAAGATTTGGAGATACAATGGTATTGGGCACCAGGACAAGAAAATCTAGCCGACTTAATCTCAAGAGGAACAACATTGACGGAACTAAAGGAAAGCATTTGGTGGCACGGACCAAAATGGTTGCTTTTCGAATTCAAGGAATAATTTCGGACGAGGCATACACACTAGACAGAAACAAGCGATTATCTTGCAATGTCTCTGCTATTTGCTTCTGAATCGATGGCAACTATTAACTAGTCAACCATGACTCTATGTTGTGAAACTCATTTTTTATGGACAAAAAAAAACGAAATTACCACATTAATCAATTCTTACTTTTCTATCGTGAAAAATCAGTAATTCAATCATTCATTGATCCAATACAGAAGTTATTGAATCAAATTTATTAAAAAAATAGTGTTGAATAAAATTCAAGGCCTAATTTTCTATGAAGTAATTAGTAAACAAGTTGCAACAATTCCTGAATTGTGTGCAAAAGTTCCTCAGGATGTTGTGATCCCAATTCCAGACTACGCGCGAATCAATTTAAAGTTTCCCCGTGATAAATATATTGATGAACTATCAAGAGCTTCACCTAGATATAATAAGGACTATGCATTAACATGTGCACCATCAAAAATCGCAGCAGAATATGAGCGACACTCATCGTGGGAAGCACATAAGCATGCAGCATGAAAAGTGAGAAAAAGCAGTAACATAACCACACATAACATACTGAGCCATAATGAAATTATGGTTTTAGATAAAAATTCAAATGAAACCACAACATGTTCACTTGACGACAAAAAATATATAAAAGACAATATTGATATAATGAGAGATATAGTAGACTTTTTGGGGATTTCAAATTCGAACGCTCTAGTAACATCTTGCTTTGCGATAATAAAACCTTGATCGATAATTTGATAAAAATGATCAAATGAATATTTCAATCATTATTAATGACACTACAGATGCCAGAAACATCCACTATAGAATAGTTTACTTCCAAACTATCGAGGATACTCTGGTCAGATACGCAGAGCGCATTTAGACCATTTCAAAATGAAACATTTTTTGTTAAATTTGGCATTTATCAAGTAGCTGGTTGCAGGAGGGACCAAACATACATGACACGATTATCACTGAAATGAAAATGATAAAACAACGTTCGGAATTTTTAAACAGAAGAAAAGAATTAAAAGAATCATTATTTATTACATCTAACGATACCATCATTGATATCGTATCTCCTGATATGTAGAAAGACCGAGGGGAAAGACGTAAAAATTGTCACACGCAATGCACATATGCACGCAATGCTGATTTGTCACGCAATGCTCCCCTCCCCCCACCCAATGGTCTAGACGAAAATAGACGAATTTAAATATTTCCGAGAAAAACAGGTTATTGAATTTTCATACATGCAATGCTCCCCCACCCCATGGTCTCGACGAAAAAGACATTTACATACTACCGAAACGAAAAACAGGTAAGTTCATTGGTCATTGTCAAGGTTAAGAGACAGAAGGGGTGCGAGAGAAGTAAAAAAAATCTCAATCAATTCACAGTTCAACTGTGGCATGTTTTTATTCGCGGGTTTTTCGGCCAAACACCTTCAGTCCGTGAACATCACATTGCCATGGTTGACAGGATTAGACCCTGCATGACCATTGTTTGACAAACCGTGTGAGAATCGAATTTGTTCAGATGATGCCGATTGGGTGGAAATTATCCATACCAACGGTGGAACATTAGGTAAAATCGTTCACTACTTTCAAAAAAATATGAGAAATTATTAAATCTTAAGTTAAATAATAAATTAATAGTTAAAATAATAAATTTCAAGTTAAATTAATATTGGTTAGCAATTAGTAGAAAATATTTATTTGTTCGGTAATTAGTTTATTTGCCTTGGTTATTTATTAATTTATTCGGTTAAATATCATAAGTTATAAATCGTATTGCTCAGGTGAAAAATGGTTCAGTGAAAATGAACGGAAATTATCACAATGTTCGTCTAAAATTCAATTATTTAATTGGTATTGCAACGCTGGCTTCGCCTTCGCAGGTCTGCCACGCTTTCTTTTCTGACCAATTGGAATTGTTTTCGCTGCTGCTGGAGCTTCTGTCAGTTTCAAGCGCATAGCTATTCCTATCATGTGCTCACAGACAAACAATTTAAATCCATTTTTACAATCACATTCACCAAATTTCCAATTTTCAGTGGTAATAGGATAGACAAATTTTGCATGCGCGAACTCGAACGCTTTTTCACGATAATCTTTGAAAGTTTTCCATGTTGCAGTACTTAATGTCATTGTCAGTGGTGCTGCTACCATGGGGAATTGTGTACGTCACATAATTGCCACTACGTTTGCTGGTTATTTTCACGTTAGACTTCGCAAAATTGTATCCATCAGTCCATTGTTCCAACTCGATATTCGGTGCAGCGAAGTTGATAACATTTAGACCACTGCTATATTCAATAGACCACTGCTGAATCATAGCAAACAACACGACCCGAAATTGGCTCAAATCAAGTCTCTCTCTCAAAGTGAATTCATCTTTGATGCCTTTATTCTTCGACTCAAGTGCATTGTTGGAGCTTGGAGTTTTCGGCCGAAATCCCTCATACCAGTTACGATGTTGAATCAGCCACTCATTTTCGAAATATGTGACTAGCTCTTTCGAAACTTTGACCCACTTCTTCACAAACAACTTGGATGCAACATCAAAGAAAGTTTCATTTCTCGCCAATTGCAACTTGTCGAGATCAACTGAAAAGATTTGAAAAAAAAAATGTTCACTCTAACCTTTTTACAAGAAGCTCCAAATATGTGACACTTACATAGAAATTCGTTTCTTCTCTTTTGTTCCTTCAAATATTTCGACAAATTTTTCGATACCGCTCGACGCACGTGTGCCCAACACATAACGATGTTGTTGCTATGTGACGGAAAAACTCTTTCCCATCCATTGTGAATGCTATCGGCTGCATCGCAAATGAGCACATCCGGATCAATGTCAGCTTGGAATAGTTCTTTCACTTTGACTTTCATCGATTGAAATACAAATTCAAAATCTTCACTTCGTTCATTCGTTGACACACATACACCAAATGGATGAAATTTTCGGTTGGAATCTGTCGTGCCAATCAAGAGAATCGGGAACCCTTGCCAAACAATTTTATACGTTGCATCGGTGTGTACTTTTTCAACACTCACAGCACTTTTCAGCAGCAACTTTGTTGAAACCAAAAAACGAAATGTGCTCTTTTCATTGTTTTCATCGTCAATGTGCATATCGTAACTGACAATGAATGGTTCATCTTCATTTGATGGTACGTTGCTACTTTCGCTCAACCAAAGTTCTAGCGTGCCATAATTCAATCGTTCACAACCGAACTTCTCCTTCCTCAATTTTGCCAAAAAATTGTTCAATGTAGCTTTTGTCGGTGGAGTGAAACCTTTGCGCACTAAATTATACAAAATTGCCTTTGGTTTCATGTTGGATTCAAATGACGATCTTATTTCAGTTTCGATATCACCGCAGATTTTTTTCACAGCATTCTCATTGTTGTTCTCATCGCCATGAGTGTGAATTGTATCAGCCCGATAAAGATGAACAGACTGGCATGTTGAGTCAAACAGCAAAAAAATTCCACTTGCACACTGTGTGCTTGCAGGGCCGGATTTCATAAGGTTGCATCGATAATTGATTCGGATACCATCATCTGATTTGTTCCGGTAATGATAAGACCAATAACGTTCGGCTTTAATTGCAACTACTGCTTCCTGTTTCGATTCGAACGTTTTGTCAAATATCCAATCCTTGTGCACTCTTCTTTTTTTTGCGTTTGGTTCAATTTCTTTCGATGGTTTCGGCAAGTAATTTTTGTCAGGAATGTAAATGCCATTCGCCAGCATGTTGTGTTGAAATTCGTCTTTGTCATTGCAGTTGGGGCATACAAAATCGTCATTCATCGAAAATGCCATTTCTTTCAAACATTCTTTGTGATACCAGCTTTTATTGACACAACAAACGAGTTGCAATGATTTCATTGGGTTGTATTCATCCATTGGCAACTCACAAATCGCACAAAGTTCATCGTCATTATGTGTCTCTTCAGTGTTCAAGGTGTTTGTGTTGAAATGGGCATCACAATACGATCGGTAATCATCAGTAAACTCAACGGCACAATCAAACTGTTTCGCACACGGCAAATGGAACGATTTCCGACACTGTCGTATCCAGCAACCAATGCTAGCCCCTAGCCCCGCTTTCTTTGCAAAATGCGCATGTCTAAGAGAGTAAACAATTGAAATTAGACTAAAAATGATCTAATACAATGCAAACAAAAAGACATTTACCAGTTTTGATGCACGCTTAATCTCTTTTCTTATGTCAGTCAATGCGTACCCCAAAATATGTTCAACGCCCGATTCATCTGTTTGCCTAAGATTGGAGCTCATCAACTGTGAAGAATAAGCATATAAAATTAAAGTTATTATCAAAATTATTCATCCAAAAGTTACAATGCGAAACAAAAAAGTTCCTCATCTACAAAAATGATGCACCGTCACATCGTTCAGAGTGACTTTTTTCCCAAATTCGATCGGATTGTCGGAATGCTTCTTACACAAAACACAATCAAGCGACGGATCCTCTTCAAATGATTCGTACAATTGTAGCTCTTCACTGCAATTAAAAAAATCTAAATAATCTAAATATACCAATTATTATATCTGATTTTTTATTTACTCTTTTCTCGTTGTTCGTGGCATTTTGTTTATTGGCAGCAAACAATTCACCGACTGACTCGCGCCAATTCTGACATTTGACATTTTTGAAGGGTTTCGCAATTCAATTCAACTGAGCAATTTTTCAAACACGTTGGTAGGGTTTCGCAATTCAACTGAATTGTGAAATTGTTTTAACCGAACGATTAGATTTATAACTTATGATATTTAACCGATTAAATTTATAAATAACTAAACTAAATAAATTATTTACCGAGCAAATAAATATTTTCTACTTTGAAACCAATATTATTCTAACTTGAATTTTATTATTTCAACTATTAATATATTAATTAACTTAAGATTTAATTACTACCCAAAAAATATTACTTTGTCAACTTAAACTTTTTTTTAAATTTTCAATAGGGATATACGGGACCATAGGAGACGTGGATTACCATTCGAACGGCGGCAGAAATCAACCACCAAAGTCGTACCAAACGTATCACAAGTTCGAATAATAGTGACAAACCCACCGACAGTTATGGAACTAACTAAGTAAATAGATCAAGAATCAGTTGAATTTTGAATCACTTGAATAAACCATCAATATGATGAGAATCAGTCAGTTGGGTTATTTCAACCAAGCATCAAGAGCAGACCTCATTTTTGTGTGCGTTTTAAGAAAGATAATAAAGGAGTGAAAACATTGTTTAATATTAAATTTTTCAAATAAAGTTTTCTGTGAGTTTCTTTGAGAATAAAATAATTGTGTTTTATTCATTTTGACGCCCGAAGAGGGACATTAATGAAAAGTTATTTAGAAATTATTTCGACATTTGCTTCAAAGTGTGAAAATGAGTGAAAAAGAATCAACAAATCAATTTAAAGGAAAAAATAATTTAAAAAAGAAGTGTTCTTTGTGCAAGAATAAAGAAACAATAACTCAAATAATCAACGAAAATAAAAACTTACGTGAAAAGACCAAAAAATTGGAAAGGGAACTCTTTCTCCTAAAACACGAATTTTATGATTTGGATTCTTATAGTGTGAATCATATCACACAAAACACCGATTTCATTAAAAAAAAATAATGAAAATTTAAATTCATTGATAAAACTAATTAAATTCAACAAACTATATCCAAGTGACGAAAAATTGAAAGAAAATTTAAATAATTCAGATTATTCAATTGCATATTTTTCACCGACTTTCTCACCACCTCCATTATCAGGAGATTTCATTACAAATTCAACTAAATCAGAAAGAAATAGTGTCATTGATTCACCGGAAAATTCGATCCCGTATTCACCAATTAATTCACCATACACGCCAGAATCATTACCAAGTTATCAAGTTATTGATTCAACTGAACAAGGAGATGATTATACTCGACGATTAAGACAACAAATAAAATCAAATTTGATATCAAATTCATTTGAAAGTCAATTATGCTTTTTGATGACAATTGAATCAGCGGCCAGCGATTATCTCGCAAAGCGGCTGCTATTATTTTCTAAGTCAATGGCAACTATTAACTAGTCAACCATGACTCTATGTTTTGACACTTATTTTTTATGGACAAAAATGGCAAAAATACCTGATTTATTCATATTATTATTTGTAGAGTTTATCTCCACGATTGTGCGAGGAATTCGAACACATGTAGATGCCATGGATTACATGTTCGACCAAGAACTAGAATAATTGATGTCCGGACAAATCGGCATAATAACAATTGAATACCGGTTATCGCACATCAATCATGTCAGACAAATTTAAAAGTGAACAAGTTAAAGGAAAACTTAACATCGAAACGAATTTAGTCGAAGGTGAAAAACTGCTAGATGTTATAAAGACTACATCGAATGGTGATGGGAAAAATGTGCTATAAATACCTCATGGATGGATTTTTTTAGACTCCATTCGAGATAGCAAATCTTGCATGACGTTGCATCTAATCATGTTCTCCAAAGAATAAATGGCTAGATTATAACAATGAAGCCGTTAAAAAGGAGCGATGTTCATCGTTGCAGTCCACCAAATCGGCCACAACGACGCTCTCAGTCATCAAGCATCTGTCGAACTGTTTTGGAGATTTTGAATTTGAATTCGAATTCGACCACTCAAGACGCATATCGCATTGCGATATATGCATAAAAACCTTATTGACCGCTCTGGAGAGCCTTACCAACATTTGATGTGAAAGTAAATAGCTGGGATCCATGGATGACATTAGTAATAATGACGAAATTAGACGATGAAAAAAGAGGAGAGTGGAAACAGAAAATTGGACGAAGGGAATTTTCTGGAGTAACGGAACTGTTGGAAGTGTAAACAAAGAACATAAAAATGAAAGGAAAAGAAAGCTTCAAATAAAGCGCCTTTGTTTATACTTCCAAGTTATAAGAAGCCCGCTTCAAAAACATATGTTAGAAATTCGTGCATCCTTCTAAAAATAAGTCTCCAAATAGGTGGAGTTTACGGTCACTGCCAAGTTTTTATAAAGATAGAACGTATATGCAGATTGCGTTCAAGGTTCAAACCCAAATAAAA